ACCAGATGTGTAAATATGAAACCGGAATTCGTCTATAGATGGCTGTAGTTACCTGTAGTCTTAATGTAGTTACCATTAAACCACATTATTGGCAACACTTTGTTTCTTTGACACCTGGTAAAGATTTTCAACCCACAATAATAGAAGTTTCATATAACAGCATTGTTTTAATAGTCTTGGACATGTCAAGTTTAGTGCCTTCAAACCATGATTTGTGGAAAGCACTAGTTTTCTGTTACCATTAAAACAAAAATGCTGCAGAATTGTATCGAATGCTATTCAAATCTTATGGCGAGCAAAGTCTAAGTAAATCACAGTGCTTCGAGTGGTTTGAAGAATTCAAAAAAAGTGATTTTGACATGAGAGAAATGAAGAACATGGAAGACTACCAAAAAAATGTTGTGATCTATTATGAGTAGCTGGCCTTCATAAGGTCTAATTTGACTGACCTATGGTAGCTAGTAAAAAAAATATTACTACATCCATATCATCCTAATTTTCGTTTTTTGTTTTAAATATGTGAATGTTTCCATAATGTTAGGTATTAATATCTACTCTGACTCTACTTTAATTCCTGTAAATAAAGTTTTATAAATACACTCAAGTCCTCACTGTATTTTTTTTAAATATCAAGTTCATTCAAGAACCAAACAGGGGAGAAATAAGAGCATGTAAAAGATTTTAATATGTGAGCCATAACTTTCATTAATACAAAAGTTAAAAAAAAAGCCTTTAATATAGTTTAAAAAAAAAACTACCAACAGGAACAATATTGCAAAACTTGGATCAGTATCTGACAAGCAAGGGAACAGGACAAATAAAGAACAGTTACAATATAAGACATAACAAGACAATGTCGGTAGACTACATTTGGATGCTAGGTTAAATGGTCTTAGAAGAACACAAAAAGATAAAACCCATTGATATCATCATATTTTTTTTCTTTCCTATATTCATCCTAGCCAAGTAAATGTATATACTTTTTATAAATCAAAATAATCTGTTTTAATAGAATAATTTAACAAAAGCATTTCTTTCAATATAAAAGATTGTAGAACTTTAATCCTTATTTACCCAAACAATGATAGGAGTAAAACTTTTCTGGCTTCATATTCTGTTTGAGCAATCCTAAATTTTATTTAATAGTACTTAAAATTATTTCAGACCTTAGCATCATATTTTCAATAGTTAAGTTAATTACTTTTATTTCCAGTCTACCCCCAATAATTTCTCCCAATTTATAACAATTCACATCATTAATTTTTTGACAAAAAATAGTTTTTTCCCATGTGTAACTTCCATATTTTTTTTTATGTTAACTTTTAACTTCTTTTTGACTTCAACTACTGCTAACTGTGATAAAAGTCTTATTATTGGATTTGACAATGGTTTAGATCAGTTTTATACAAACAACACTATTTGTCGTTCCAAGCTATGTTATTGCTAAATATATTTCGATGGAATAAATATGAATTGTATTTCAGAAAGAATAAGAGGACAGCATTTATTGTATTAAATATAATTTTTCATAGGATAATTTTTCACAAGATGAGGATTTTTATTTATTTGACAAAAGCTTTGAAATATCCATACAGCCAGAAACAGATTATGTAGGGAGGAGGGGAGGGGAGGACTTCTAAACCCACAATCTAACCCTGAGTTACATACTTTATAGATGTTTCTTCCAAAATTATCATATATAATAAATAATACCGCATCCCACAAGGAACCATCCCTCCTACCTCCTGTGACCCTAATTCTTTAAAGCATAGTAATCAATCTTAATATGTCCCCATATGTTTATTGATACTCCACAATACATCTTGTCATAATAATATTCAAAGAGACAGGTATCTTATTACCCCATATAAATGATGAATATTAGACAGTTTTAGAACAGATATGAATCAATTCAAATATTTTTTTCAAAAAAATTATAACTACCAGATTAATTATTAATATTGTTTATTTATTCTAGACTAAGAACAAGGGTTGGCAGAAGCTTAGACAAGGAGCAATATGGATTCCACAATCACAGAAGTACTCAAGACCTAATCTTTACTATTAGACAAATATCCAAAAAACTGATCGAAAAGGGGAAGTAAGTTGCTGTTTTGTGGATTTGACAAAAGCATTTGACCAAGTGAGAAAAGAAGATTTAGCAAAGGCCCTGGAGGAGCTGCGAGTGGACATGGGACTAAGAATGGCTATAGAAAGCCTTCACAAAAGAGATAGGAATATAGTGAGAATGTCCAATTGCACCTCTGCAGAATTTGAACTGTCAGTGGTGTATGACAAGGCTGTTGTCTCAGCCCTAAAATAAGAGATTTTCACCTTGGCTACCGAAATTCAAGTCCAGTAAGTTATAAGCTGATATCTTATGCTGATGACCTGATGATCTTCGGGAAAGATGGTAGGGATCTTCAGTATAATATATTGATCCTAAGAGACGAGCTACAATAAATATGCAAATAAACGAGGAAAAAACGAAAGTAATGGGAATTGGAAGGCTTATGACAACTTACATATAGTCCATATAAATGGAGAAATAATAAACAGATGGATAGCTATAAGTATCTAGGAGAACCCCTAAGAAAAGGACTTATAGATGCAGAGATGAGGAAAAGAATAGTTTCAGCTGGAAAATTTTTTAATTCTGTTAAAAGGGGCTTCATAAACAGGAGAGAAGTATCAAAAGGAACAAAGGTCACAAAAATACTTCCATCCCAATACTGACATATTTCAGTGAATCTTGGACACTTACGACAAAGCATACAGAGTTCTGAGATGAGATTCCTTCAGAGAATTGAAGGTAAAAAAAGAAGAGATCAAATTAGGAATACTACAATAAGGAAGAACCTCAATGTAAAACCTGCAAGAACAGTGATCAAGGAAAATCAACTCTGATGGTATATACATGTCATTAGAATGTATGAAAATAGAATAGCCAGAGCAACCTATGAGACACAGGTTGACAGTCGTACACCAAGAATAAGGGCTAGGAGAAAATGGGAGGAAGGTATAAAAGAAGCATTTGCAAACAGGAAAATGGATTGGAGGAGAGAATTGGTGCAATATAGAGTATGGTCCAGGATCTGTAAGGAAACCCCAACACTGCAACGGCGATAGGCAGGGGACAAAGTATTTATTTTGTTGTACTACTGTTGAATTTCTAATGGTTTCTTTAATTTTGTTGGACAATTTCATAATGTATGGGCCATTTCTAAAGTTCCCCTTGACTATCTCAACTTATTGATGGCCTAGCTAAGAAAGCTCAAGAAGCAGCTGATAATGGTAATCTGAAGACACTATATGATGTGATGAAAACCCTTTCAAAGAAGCAATGTTTAGCAGAAAATAGATGTCTGCAGAATATATTGCGAGTATGATGGCCTGAAACCATCTCTAATGCCGATTTCTGGTCATGAACTAAACAAGCCCTGATAGATCGGGGTAAAGTCACAATTATGTATTATGTAAATGATGCAATTATGTAAATTATGCAAATGCAATTATGTAAATTATGCTATGTAGTCACTATTGTGAGACTCTTCCAATAAATTTAAATGTAACTCGTTAGATTCTTTTCCAGCTTTATTTTTTTGCTATATTTGTTCAACAACACTCTTATATGACCGAAATTCCTTTTAAGTCAACCTAAACCATGATATTTAGGTCGTTTTTTAGATAATTTCCGAGAACATGTTTTTTCACCAATAGTATACATCATTGTACCAGTAGTAGAAAAGACAACACACCAGTAGTTGACACCACTTAATTAATATATTTAATTTATTTCTAATCAAATATGCATCTATATTGCCAGTTTTTACAAAGGAACTATGATTTAAAAAAAAAAAGATTATTTTTAAAAATTAAATTACATTTGTAGGTAAAATGGAACAAGACATTTCCTGGGAAAAATTCGAACACTCCCATGCTTAGAATAGAACTGAATCATTACTACAAAAAAATTGAGTTTTCTAGTAGTAGACACTTCTGTCTACAACTGGAACAAGAGGTATTATCAATATCCCAGTAGTAGACAGTTTGTTTTTGTGCTCAATCAAACAAAACTAACACACACAAACACATTTTACCTAATGAATTCATTGTCTACACGATTATTTAGAGAAAAAAATTGTGAAAAATCTTGGAACAATAAAAGAATAATTGATATAAATCAAACTCCTCCCTCCCTAGCTGATTTGGTAAAAGCAGGACCTTGGATGACACTGCAAATATATCAGCTGCTCTAATATTTCCACTGCTCACTTGGTTTGCCACTGCATTCTAGTGGCTACACAGTATAAGCTTAAGTTTAAAATGACACCAAATTCAAATCATTGTGATAGTTCCAACTCTTATTTTTTTAAGTTGAAGTTTCATGTGTCTACTACTGGTTTGATATCTCACCTTTACTGTAAATGTCAGAAATGGAGATGGCTGGGGCATATGCTTAGAAGGGGGACATAACACAGCAGAGTCTGGAGTCAAACACTAAGGCCAGCTAAGAAGCGGACGGCTAGAGAAGGAAATGAACTGAGCAGACCTGGTCTGAAGATTGGCTAAAGATTGGTATGCCAGACAGAACTTTGTGATGGCCTTAAGTCCCACTTAAGGGATTCTAGGAAATAATAATAACATAATGGGCCATTACTGCACTATTTCTCAGTACCCTTTTAAAAACCAATTTTTATTTATTAGCCTTTACATTGATACTTACCTTTGTAGCAAATAATCTTATGTAAATTTTTTTATGTATACAGATTTTTATTTATAATTGAATTAAACTTCAAAGATATAGTTTTACAAAATAAAAATACAAAGAATAAGTAAATGCGTAATTCTGAATAAAACAGTTATGTTGGAGCAGTAGAGTTTTTAGTTTGATTTGAGTTCCAGTAATTACATTAAGTTGTTTTTTATTAGGTTTAGCCCTTATGAATTCCAACTAGGGTAGGTAGGGCGACTACATTAGTAATTGTAATGTTGCTTACATAATCTTGGATTTCTTGATTTCTTTCAGAATGTCCATAACTTTGTTGATTGAACTGTCCAAAACTTTGAAGCACTGTTATCTTTGAAGGATCTAGAACTTTGAGAATAACTGCGCTGCCCGCCATCTTGGAGATAAACAAAGATTCATTATGATCAAAACTACAGTATTCACAATTTCAGAGGTTATAAGTAACCATATTCTCACTTCACATATAAGCTAAAACTATAATAATGGGAATTTGAAAAGTACTAAGTTATGAGGGATGCATAAGGTACATAAAATAATGCTAGTGTGGTATAGGTTTGACACTAAAGAATTATTATCTTAAAAAATAAATTTTCTTATTTTTTAAATTAAAATATTTTATACATTTAAAATAATCAGTAGGAAAATAAATAAATTACTTTTTCTGGGTCTGGAAGACCTAGAACAGAGGTGGCCATTTTCGTCTGCTTCACTTTAAATTGATCACCAAGAACTTTTTCTTTGTCTTTAATGATTCTTTTTTGTCTTGTACCTGGTGGAATGGGAGATTTCTTAACAACAAATGATTTATCTTTTTCTCTTTTAGCCCTTGTAAAAAGACGTCTTTTTTTATCCTTACCAGTGTTCACAGTTTTATTGTTGTCTGTTTTACCAGGCATTTGTTCAATTAAACAAGTTCTTATCTTTTTCTGTCGTGGAGTCTTTTTAATTTCCTTTACTTCAGACTTAACATCTTTGTCATCAGGAGGTTCTGTTTTAATTTTAGGTTCTTCTATGAATAAATTCTTGGCAACATTTTTTTCTTGTTTTACACTTCCTGAGGGCTCTCCAGTTTCTTGATTAGATTCATCGACTTCAACTTTTATAAATGGAGTTGGAAATATAATTTGTGAATCGTAAGAGGCTTCATCTTGTTTATCCTATAAATAAAAAGTACAACTTAAGTCATATATAATATAAATGGCATGAATGTATTATAAAATTTGAAGTTTGTTAGAAAACTAAAATACATTTAAGACATTGGAAGTGATTAACAAAAAATGTAAATAATCAGAATAATATAGGAAATAACTTTGTTTTATCCCAAGTTTTCCATCTCGATGACTAAGTATTGTTTCAGAAAATGAGAGTTAAGTTTTATTGAATAAGTGATCACTCATCAGATATAGTGGGTACCAGGGAAATAAAATGACCAGGGTGGATCAAAACTAGTACCAAATTTAACCATGATAGATCGGGTAGCATCAAATGGAAATATTCTACAGCCTCCTTCAGGAACTGGTGAAGGAATGAATGACACTACTATGTTGTAACAGACCACAAGAGCATTCAATGGTACATATTCTGAACTCGTACTTGAAAGATGATCTTTCCACATGTGTTTAGCAACAAAAATCAGGGATGTGAACAACTCCATGATCTTAAAAAGATAAAATGGACAGCTGGAATGAACAAAGTTATCATCCAAGCTTACTACTTGGCTATAAATTTAGAATAAAATAGCACAGGATGCCTTAGAAGAATCCAAGGTTATGACTGAGAAAATACACTGAAATTAATGTTACAGCACAAACACAAGTAGATCAGATGAGGGTAAAACTCACACATGTTTGAGAAGACTGGAAGGGAAAACCAGAATCATAACAAGCTATGCCCGAGAATCCTAATTAAGTATAAAAAAAAAAATGGAAGCTAACTGAGATTTTGATACTTCATCTTGGTGTTGTCATACTTGAAGATAAGCTAACTAAGATCCTCAAGCTCTATCCTGACAAATTCAAGCAAACGTTAGCAATTATGCTAATATAATACAAAGGCATACAGCAGCAGCTTTTCACAGAGAAAATAATAAGAGTTATGAAACTGATCAGTGTTAATTTTATGTAAAAATACATGGTGATAGAACAAATTTGAATGTAAAACATGTAACAATGTAGAACTACAGCATGTAGCATGGAGCTGTTTTAGAAAGAATTATGGGAACGACCAGCATATCATGATACAAATTCTATGTGGTTGTCCTTATTATTAAAGTGTGAACTTAAAAGAACACCCTTGATGCTCCCACTAATTAGCAGGGAAGATATAAAGAAGATCCATAACTAGAAACGCCATGGAAGAGTTAAAATACAGGCTTATTGGCTTAAAGAATTCACCAGTTTCCAAGGAAAGCTGGTGCATCTATTTCAATCAATTACAGAAGGCTCAGCAGAAATTCCATAAGATTTTTCAGGAGAAATAACTGATATCAAAAGAAGAAGGCCCAAAAATGATTAGCTAAAAAAAGCTTTTGACAATGTACCACACAGGTGGTCAATCTAAGAATTAGAATCATAAAAAGTCTACCCTAGCATAACAAATCTCCTGAGTAAGCTTACAGATACTACCCTATCAATGGTTAGAGGTCACTCAGGTTATAGAACTGGAACCATAAAAATTGGTTGAGGAATGAATCAAGATTATCTTAGCTCTAGCATCTCTGAGCTATATACTCCAAAGATTGGATATCAATTTAAGATCAGTAATAAAAGTTCCATTATCAGTGATAGCCTTTATATCAATGATTTTAAAGTTGTATGCAAGAAAAAAACGAAAGAGGTGATAAATGAAATAACTAGCAAGTTTATGAAAAGTGCAGCAGGTTCTGAACAGTCATCTTACTGATGAAATCAAATTTGTCATTAATACATGGGTGATTACATTTGTAGCTTATAGTTCTAGTATAATAAGCTAGTCACCTACCAAACTATAAGATATAGATCACCTGGCTCGCACAATGATGAGTGCAAAAATTCACCATCCAGTGGGATCTATGACTAGATTATATATGATGAGAAAGGAAGGTGGTCAAGATCTTATTTGCATTGAACACTCATATCAAGAACAAAAAAACTCTATGATGGGGTTTGTTATAGCAAATTAATTAATGATATCTTTGATAAGAGAGATGGAGGAAGATTACACCACCCATAACCATCCCTCAGAGATCCAACTCTGCGTGAAATAAAAAGTGGGAATCATTTAAAAACAGGAAGGAAAAATAATTATAAGCCAGATTTTATCATCAGCTAGATAAGTTTGAAGTCCATAAGAAAATCGATGTTGATTGGTTAAAAAAGTCAAATCTGTAGTGAAACAGAAAGCTTTTACATAGTAATACAAGACTAAGTCATAATAACTAGGGCTTTCAGACAAAATTAAATTTTGAAAATGAATGATACTCTTTATAAAAATGATATAAAATAAATTAATTTAATTTAAAGAGAATACTAAATAATATTATTTTTCAAACTAACCTTGAATTCAATTTTAGGTTCTGTCTTGATAGTTTTATCTTTATCTCTAATTAAACTGCGATTAGATCTATTACGATTCCTACTAGTTCTTGGATGATTAACCATAGTGCAACCCAATTTGCGATAAAATTCTTCAAAGCTGTAGAGATACCTTAAAACAAAAATTAACATTATGTTCAGAAATAAAGAAAAAAAAAAATGAGAATTATAAATATTTCTCGGGATATATATGTGACACTTGTAAATACTAGTTAAGTGCAATTTAGTGAATTTCAATTCTGCTGTTTCAAATCTAATCTTTTTTCTTTCTTAGAATCTCTCTCTCTCTCTCTCTCTCTCTCTCTCTCTCTCTCTATATATATATATATATATATATATATATATATATATATATATTTAAATTGGAAATTAGGTCAATTTTCTACTAGCAGCCCATTAGCTCAATATCTGTGCTAGTGTAAGGTGCTGAGGCAGTCGGGGTGTCCCTGGCCTGAGGTATCGAGCCTCTATTTTAAAAGTATGTTGAATTTTGAAATAATTGTTAAATGGGAGCATAATTGTGTAACGAATGAGCTCTTTGTTGTTCTAGAATTGAAGAGGATCCCATTGTCAGCATAAAAAACCAGGATCGAAACGTCCGTCGATTAAACAACAGGATCCATGAACATTTCATAGTTTGTTGAATAATAATTAAGTGACCTAATTCCTAATTTAAATAATTATTTTAAAATATGATACTCAAAGGTCGATTGAAGAAATTTTGTAAACACACACACACACACACACACATATCAATCAATCAATCTTTATTTGTTTTGAGGGAAGAACCCTATACAAATGGAGTGAAATACAAGCCATACAGAAATTTCACACACAATATATATACACACACACACACACACACACACACACACACACACATATAGGCCAAACTATATGATTATTCAATGAAAGATATTCCCTCTTTGTAATAGCCATGTTACTTGGCCCATTAGAGACAAAGAACGAGAAAAAAATTGACTGAAATTTCAGGTGAAAATGTTTGAATTTCAATTGATACATGGTTAGAGGTGTGGAAAAGAAAAGGTATGGTAATTCATTGCTAACTAGAATTAATTAAATTACTAACTGAATGAAAAACATATATGTGTGGAACTCTAAGAAATAATAGAAAAAGGAATCCCAGAGATATGGTAAATTAGAACTGCAAAAAAGAGAGTTTTATGGACACAAACTGGTCCAGTTATTGTATGTAAATGGAAATACAAGCCTGATGTCCTTACCATTTCAAATATACATGGTGTTGAAATAGTATATATCCAATCGAAATAGCAAATATTCAATGAAACCAAATATAATTTGGGACTACAATCTAGGAATGTCTGGCATTGATCATTAAGATCAAATGTTATCACATAACGCATCTTAAAGAAAAACAATTAGATGGCCTAAAAAAGTTGCTTTGCATATTATGGATACGGATATATATATATATATATATATATATATATATATATATATATATATATATATATATATAAATAAAAAACTATTCACAAATGTCACAAATATATAGCAATTAAAAATCTATTTAAACCTTTTACAAAGAAAAAAAATCTTATCAGAGTCTGTCAAAGTTAAATAAGATTTCCAGCAATAAGACAAAAAATAAAACAATTTATTAACATGACAATTAAGATTAAGATGATTGAGAATTAAGATGATGCAGGATACTGTCTGAAGATGGGATATAAGTGGATCCCGAAATGTAATGATATAATTGAGTGGAGAAAAAATGGGAGAATAAATCACTGGGAAAAAAATATTCTTAATTATATACCTAGAAAATAAGTATCACCCTTAGGATAAATGAAGGAATTTCATTGTTTATTTTTGTTACATTTGTGTGATTTTCATCAAATTATGGATGTTATTACATTGAGGGAATTGCCATCTTCAGAAGAAGAGGATATCGAACATTTTGAAAACACCGAGTTAATTTCAAATGTGAAATTGTGTGAAGGTCATCAAATGAAGTAGGACAGGAAGACGAAATGGAGATGCTTTTGTACCACTTGAAACAAAAATGTTTTTATAGGAACGTGGTAAGAGGGGTCGAGAATTTTGTTTTTAACGACTTTAAATTAATTTATGGATGGTTCCATAATTTAACAACAATATAGTGGGATAAAGAGCAGCTGAAACTATCCAAGACAACTACGTTAATGTGGAACAAATTTTCAACAAAGGTTGGTGCCGATAACATGTTATACAGGTCAAGTAAAAAAAAGTGGAGTGCCTGGCAAAGTTGTTGACATAGATATATATGTATAGATATATTGTTGCAGGAATTATTACATTTATTTTCGTCTGTTACGTATATATGTTGTCAAATAAAAGTATTTTTTTTTCAACGAGTATTACATTTTCAATTTCAATAATATGAATATAATACAGTAAATATAAATACAAAGCTAGGGATTATCAGTGCCTTATCAGAATTATCAGTGTTCAGGTTATAAACAGTGGCAGATAGCAGTTGATACCGACTGGCTAATAGACAAGTACCCCGTGGTCTTATGGAATTTTTGGAGCATTTCTATTGTTCATCAATTTTATCCTGTTATACTTCGGTCCATCACCAAGTTTCTCTTCCACCATTTCTTATTAAGGATAGGTTCCTTGAGCTTAGCTACATTAAACAATCTTCCAGTATCATCTTAAAGACTACCTACAGCTGGCATCCAGGTTCAAATTTTTCAATGCTGAAGTAGTGTTCTATATCTATGGTTGATCCCTGCATGACTTAGGACTTGTCTGATGTGTGCCAGGAACTTACATAGAAATGGTTAATTTGGTTGGCTACTCTCACATCTAGCATTATCTATATTTTCATCAATTTGGGAACATTGTACCTACTACCACTACTCCATGTGCTATCACAAATCTTATAAGAATCAAATTATTATTACTTTTTTCATAGAGATTGAATTTCTCTTTAGTCAGCTGATATACTGGGCTCTGTCTGACTTAGTATTTTTAATTACCAAGAAATATTTTCATATCTTATTGATAACATCCCTTAATGCCTTTCTAGCTCTATACAGAGCTGGTTCTTTTCTTCTTCAGAAGCTACTTCTGTGGGTGAATGGCAGTTTATTAATGATTAGTGAAGTAAGCATCCTTTTAAGTGCCTGTAGGGATCTGAGCTTTTTGAGAGATATAATATTCCATCAGGCAGTACATACATTTTATGAAGGCTACAGGGTTTTTCCAGATTAGAGAACCCTGCTATGTCTGTTTGTGCTGGTTTCTTTACAAGTTTTTTTTTTAAAGCGAGGAGGGCAGTCAATTCTCCCTTTTTGAATCATGTGGAGAGAGACACTTTCTCAGAGCATCTTGAAGTGGTGCCCCATCCCAGGAAGATGACTCAAGGGTGTGTTCTGTGTTGTAAAGGTTGTGCTTTTTTTGTAGTGTTCTGTATATATAGCATACTGTGTGAGCATCAGAGTAATTGTCCCACCATTGACTAACTGCAATTGGGGCAATGGAGTTGTTATCTTCAGGGGTGCCAATCCCCAACAAGGACAATAGAGAATGCCTTATGTGCCTCCCTCCTAAGGAATTTTATTGTCCTTCTTTAGGAGAAAATGAAAGCAGAATTATGGATGTGGCCTGTTTTTCCTTAGATTTCTGGTTTAAAAGTTTCTCCCAAAATACGGTTCATTTCGAAAATCCATAACTCCTAAAAAATGTGTCCCCCGAAAATTCTTAACCCCATAAAAGTATTAACAGCATGCAACTTGCACCATTTAACCCCCTTTTGAGCACCTCTAGTCACCTTTCTATACCCATTAATGTATTTTAGTCAGAGAGATCTGTGAAGTCATCTGGAACAAGATGAGTGGGATATGCCAAATAAGGTTTGCTCCTAATACTTTGTTATTGTGGTCGGGTGATTGAACTAATTTCATAAATTCTTCTAAAAAGCATTCACAACTGGTTTATTTGGGGTGGCAGGTGATTCACGCTGTTGACCCATTATCATTTTTTATGTTTTCTTTGCTTTTTATACCTCGTTAGTCATTTTTTCTACATTATTTGAGACATAAATATATAATTTATTTAAATGAAATGACTTTATAATCCATAATATTTATAATAAAATATAATGGACTAAACAAAAACATTATAATTTAAAGTTTTGAATAAAATAAGTTGAAATATTTTCAAATATGAATTAAAAAAAAAAAAAAACTAGGGTACTCACTTCTTGTAGGTTTGTTTCACCATATTTGTTGTAACTGGGTTTTGGCCAAAACCCATTTTATGGGAAACTATTTTCCAGTTGTTATGGTTAGTAACTCTATTAAAACCACCAAGATTTTGAACGATCTAAAACATGTTAATTACCAATAATTAAAATAACTGACCATTTTGTAAAATATACATCCAGAAGTAAACTAAATTTATTTTGACAAACTATAACTCCACAAGATCCTCTGAATTTCATTAATAATACAATAAAAGTCATCAAGACCATATTAGACAACATCTTAATCAATTATTGATAGGTACTGAGGTACATATTTTAGCTATAATTTATTGAATATTTATTAGCTGAGTGCATATAATAAGAGAAGAGATGGTCTGGAGTGACAGTCAAAAAAGAACTTCAAATAGTGTAAACCATTTACTGAAACCTACTTTTCTTCATCAGGTCTAAATGAATCAGATACAAATGTAGAATATTGAAAAAGTTTTAAGATAAAATTAATGAAATAGAGAATTAAATAAATATTAGCAGGGTAAATGAAAGATATAGTAAGGGCATTAAAATGTAAAAAAATAATAGCTAATGTAGACTGAATTATAAATTGATAAAATTATATAGTGATAAAGAATTGATAGATAACATAATTAATGATGGTTAATTCAATTAATCATGAATATAGTATAACAAAACAATGTGAAGATAAAAACAGAATTTCTGGACAAAGTATAACCAAAGTTTCCATGAATTTCAACCTTTTTAATAAAAACTGCAGAAGTAAGTTCTCAATTTGAAACAAGTTACAATCTCATACAAGATTGATTCTGATTCTCATAATGAAATGAACAAAGGCAGAAATAACTTTTAAAAGATCATTTCGTTTTAAATGGAAAATTTGATTATACATTTATATAATAGGTAGTGAAATGCTACTTTTGAACCTTGAAATGTAAGTTAAAGCCTGTACATTTTATTTTTAATATACTTGAGCTCTATACTGTTGCATTTAAGAAATTTTTCACTCTCTATTTTTTCTATACAAACTATGTAAATTTAAGATACCATATTTCCTCAACATACAGAAAACATTAATAGGTTTACGTTGCAATAAATCTCATTAAACTCAAAAACCCTTCAATATCATTTCATCATTTGAGAGAGAATTTCATGCTCTCTGCAATAATATTTGCTCATATTAAAGTATACTAGTATGTAAATATTAAACCAGAATTTTGTGTAGGAAATACACGTTAACTGCACAGAAATGTTAAAAAATATTTTATTTAAAATAATGTCCATCACTAGTTATACATTTTTCTCATCTCTCTGGCAATTTATCAATGTCATGCCAGAAAAACTGTTACCCTTTTGTGGCGAACTAATTTCATAAAAAGTAAAGCATTGCTAAGCAATTGCATGGTCTCGTTCATGCAAATAAGTAGTAGTCAGACAAAGCCAAGTCTGAAGTAAACCACACGAGCTAATCTTTTCCAAATGAACGCCTCAATTGTTTCCTTCAGTAGTTTTTCTGTGTGTGATGATTCATTATTATGAAGTAGAATCATTTTGTACAGTATTTTACTTTCACTTACCTATATATGAAATATATAGTAAGGAAATTATTGCGATCATGAAAATTTTCGAATCTCAGTTTTCAACGGAAATACACGTTTTGAGATCCCCTGAGTCCAAATAACCAAGTCCTGCAAAATGGTCTGTGTGTGTGTTAACAGCCTAGCTCAAAAACGAAAAGTCATACGAAAGTGAAATTACATTTTTAAGGTTGTATAAGCTAGAGATGTTTCAGCAACTTTTTTGTCAAAATCGGCTAACCGAAAGTGGCACTTTACATCATGGACTAAACACATTTTTAATATTTTCTCGAAAACCACTAACGATTTTGATTAAATTCATTATGTCAGTGTAAAATTAAGCAATTTTAAGTAAAATGTATTTTTAATAATTGGTAAATGGTTGATTGTTGTGAATAATGAAGAGAAGAATAGTTGGGGTGATCAGTCAAATAAGCAGGCATAAATAAATGATACTATTCATTTTGAACTTAGCCGACGTTTCGACCTGAAGTTCAGGCCATCATCAGGGCTAAGAAAAGAACCAGATAACAAAACAAGGTATGTAGGTAAAAAAATATTAAAGTAAAATTCAGAATAATGACAATAGTAAGAACTAAGAGATAAATGATAAAATGTATTTTTTATGTATTATGTAAAAAATGTATTTTTTATTCTGACTGATGTTCTCTTACAGAGCTTAAATGTAAATATAAATATTAGTTTCACCTAAACTTCCTTAAATTTTTTTTATTTGAAACAATTGACCATTTTACGTTAATTTCTAATATAAAAGATAGTTAAATATAAAATATAAAGGAATTTGATAATTAACTAAAGGAGAAATAAGAGATTGTAAGGGAGAATAGTTGTAATTGAGGAACCAAAGGAATATGAGTGCAACCGAGCTCGCCTGAAAGATTAGAACACGCATCCATACGTAACATTAACTTAACATAATACGGACTCCAACAATATTATATAAATATACATATGCAGTTTTCACAAATGCTATTGTTGGTATTATTTAATATTTAATTGTATGGATTACAGGTGATATAAATATTAAAATTTGTACATATAAGTACTTAAACAAATAAAAATACACACAATGAAATATAAATAAATATAGCATTTATAATTTTTACTTTCAATTCCCTATTGTCTGAAAATACTTATTTCTGCTAAGAAGAGGGTGGTAAGTGAAAGTTGTGTGATGCGTGCACCACACCAGATTTTTTATATTCTGGTAGTTTTTCATACAATACAGAATTCAAATCGATCATTTGTTATTGATAGAGTTCAGACCAGACAATACATTTACTCTGAGTCTTATAAGTGAACTTAGCTGGCCTAGAAATTATTACATAATCCAAGTTAAACATAATCAATGTCTTGCATCTCTAGCTAACAGGGAGAAGGTGGAAGAAAAGAACTCCAAAAAAATTTATTATGAAGCTCTGTGAACTGATTTTTGAATAGGCCAGGCCTAATAAACTTCATTTAATTCTAGGAATGAATTATCTGAAAAACTACACAATTAAAAGATTTACTGAAACATTGGCATATCTAAAAAAATACGTTTGCACATGCTAAAGGTGTAATGAAGGAAGACTCCCTGAATTCTATTGAACCCCCGGATGAGGAGGAAATGGAAAACGCCCTGAGGAAATTGAAAAATGGAAAGGCGCCAGGCCCGGACGGAATCCAGTCAGAGCTGTTGAAATGTGGAGGTGAAGAACTCAAGAAAGCTCTGCATGATTTAATGCTGACCATCTGGGAGAAGGAAGCTATGCCTACGGAATGGGCAACAGCCATTATCTGCCCAATACATAAGAAAGGAGATCAAACAGAATGCGCTAACTATCGAGGAATCTCACTCCTTTCGTGTGCTTATAAGCTGCTCTCTAACATTCTTTTTGAGAGGATCCTCCCGTATTCTGAAAAGGAACTGGGGAAATATCAGGCTGGATTTCGAAGAGGACGCTCAACGACTGATCAACTGTTCTCTCTGAGGATGATCCTAGAAAAGACTATGGAGCGTAAGGTAGTCACCCACCATTTATTCCTGGACTTTAAAGCAGCATACGACAGCGTTGATAGAACGCAACTATACTGTGCCTTGGAGGAGCTAAGCATCCCTCAGAAGCTCGATATTGACATAATAGGTAGGTCTGAACGGGCTCTCAGAGAAGCGTTTATAAGCCTTGAAGCAGCTGCAAGACCACTTGGTCTAGAAGTCAACGAGAGGAAAACTAAGTATATGAGAGTTGGCGGTGAGGTGGATCTGAACTCTCCATTTGAGGTAGGTTCTTTTAAGTTTGAGAGAGTGAAAAGTTTTATATACCTTGGGTCTGAAATTAATAGCAAGAATGACATGGCTCAAGAAATACAAAGAAGGATCACGGCTGCCAATAGATGTGTCTTTGGACTTGGCCGACACTTAAGAAGTAGGTACCTCTCAAAGAAGACCAAGCTAATCATATACAAGACCCTTGTTCGGCCTGTTTTGACATATGGCTCAGAGGCTTGGACGATGACTAAAAAGGATGAGATGAAGCTGAGTGTCTTTGAGCGAGGAGTCCTCAGAAGGATTTATGGTCCAGTAAAGGAGGGTGATGTCTGGAGGAAAAGAAAAAATAGGGAGCTCAGTTCTCTCTATGCAGACATCGACGTAGTCACGTATATTAAACTGGCCAGACTAAGGTGGGCAGGGCATGTGGCCAGAATGAGCACCCTTGAAATACCAAAAAAAATAATGATGGAGGAGCTGCACCTCGTAAGACGGGTAGGAAGGCCGAGGACGAGATGGTTGGACAACGTGGCCTATGATGCGAGAACCCTGCTTGGTGTGCGGAACTGGAGAGCTGCAGCAGAAGACAGAGCCAACTGGCGGAGGCTCTTGGAGGAGGCCCAGTCTCGGTAACGGGATGTTGTGCCATACATGAATGAATGAATGACATGCTAAAGCGGAAGCTCTAGATGGAATATGATGAAATTGATATGGGACCCACACAATCCATAAAAATTTCATAAAGGGTAGTAGGTGATATGCCTGTTACATCGATTTGATTACAGACAGACAGCAGCCGAACCAAATTTGATCCTTGATGTCTGAAACGTAAAACACGAGTGGAAATTTTCGATTCTGAGCATAACATTTTTTTTAACCTCTCGCACAAACACAATGCTTCCCTACCTTCGGTAGTAAGGAAGCAATAAGGAAAGAAATTTGATAACAACTGACACTGGATCAATTTTTCACAATTTCTCAACTTTATAAAAATGAGCATTTTTTTTTTTTTCTTCTTCAAATATAGACGCATCAATGAAAACTTATTTCCAAATAAAAAGTTATTTAATTAAATTATTACAACCATGAGTGAAAGTAATTGGTTGATTTGATAAAATAGATACTTACTTGATCAATTTGTTAGCAATCTCTAACTTTCTTCCAACTAAAGGCCCAATCTAATGAGCCAATTTTGAAATATGAGTAAAATAACTTTAAGCATACATAAGCAATAGTAGCGGATGGAATTAGATAAATTTGATACAGCTCCATTTTTTCAATAATCTCTATATTTTCTTTATCTTAGAGTCTAATCTAAACAAGCTGTTTTCTAAATATACATCTGTCTAAGAATATACATTTGTAATCATTTAAACAAAAGCAATATATGGAATGTGTTGAAATTGATACAGCACCATTCTTTTTTTTTTTTTTTTTTTTTTTTTGCTAATCTTTAACTTTCCTCTACCTTCGAGTGTGACTAAGAAGACACATTTGCATATAAATAAGCAAAAGTAGTGAATGGAATGTGATGAAAATGATATGGGACCATCAACGTATCATCCTACACAACCCCTGTATATCCATTAAAAAAATGGATAAATAGTTTTAGATAATGTAGCTGTCACATACATACTTAACAACAGAAGCAAACTTGTTCCTTGATATGTGAGTAAAATCGTGAGTTAAAATGTTTCATTTTTGGGAGAAATTTTTTTGTAACCTCCTACATAACCTTCTTAACCTTAAGTAGTGAGGAAGTAAACATACTTCTACTTTTTTAATTTTATTATTTTCTATTCATTTTATTTTTTAATTTTGTTAGCCATAAATTTTCAGAAAATTCAGCGTTTGACGAAGATCCTCACTAATCCAGAAAAAATGCAATTCTATGACTTTTACTGCTTTTAACTATTTATAGACACCCTGTATCTGTTCAATAAGCTATGATGAAGTGAGTTAAACAGGATTCTACAAATAGTTTACATTATTACCTCCCAGACCATCTTTTCCCTTATAATCCACCCTTATAAAACTTGGTATAACAAAGCTCTCCAAAAAGTTGTAGCATGATGAGGGTACATGAGGGTAAGACTTTGCATACCGATTCCGCAATAATCTGAAAAATCTTAAACAGTAGTTCTTACACCATTTTGTATGCAAACAACTATTGTTGGCTATCTATTGTAGATAGGCTCTACAGTTGTTTGTTTTAACTGGTTTTAATGTAATTTCTAAGCTAAAAGATAAATAGAGGGTCCCCATGTGGGATATCTATAAATCCCATGAAAAAAACTATATAAATTTTGCCATACCCATTCTTATGAACTCACTAACTTGATAGGTATTCTGATAATTTTTTCATATATATTTAAAGAGCTGACATATTTTTATGAATTGATAAGGTAAACTTATAAAAACGAAGAATCCTTCTCTCTTCTTCTATTTTGTTTTATCTTAGGACCACTATCATTAATTTAGGGCCAGTTTGCTCTGCATCTCTTATCAGAGTGCTGATTCTTATTGACTGTTATATTGTTTTTTACTTAGCCCTAACAAAGGCCTAAAAGGTAGGCATACAATAAAATAAGGTTCATTATTTGGGTTTTATTTCACCAATGAACTTCATTTTTAATAGATTTTGCAGTCAACAATACCTCCACCAATAAGAAAAATGATAATTAAACCATTATAATCGAGCTTCATCCATAATTTTTAATTATAAAGATATATAGCCATTATGTATAATAAGGAAATGCAAATGCAGCAAATCAATGATAAACTTTCTCATTTGGTTACTTATGTTCTTTCAATGTTTACATAAACTAATTTTCATAATCAAAATAATTTCAATAACATCACCTTGAATAATCGATATAAGTCAACATCCTGAGATCCAATAATGGGACCCTTGTTGATAGGAGTGCCACTATCATCCATAAATTTGTATAATTGAGCAACAAAATGGTCTTTTTCTTCTCTTGGTTCATCATCAGAACTCTGAAAAATCAATGATTACTTATAAATGACCTCAGGGGATGTAAAATTACACATATCAACACAGTTAAAATACTTACATGTCTTATAAAATTATAATGTGATAAGCCATACACAAAAGAGTTGTTGAAGAAATCATAAGGTATATACAAAAAAAATTCAAATAATCAACTTATTTTCTTAAAAATATTATGTCTTTTAACCATAATTAAAATGCACCATTCCTTCTACAGCACATTATGTCATATAAGAAACATAAATGCATAATTTGAAGGCACACATCTATTTAAAGGTTTATATACTAAGACTAGTCAATGGCAGGCCAGAAAAAAAAATGTTTAAAATCTATTCTTGGTGGATTCACATGGATGGATCCATTCTTGATATTGAATTCACATAACTCAAGAACTGTTAAATAATATAGGCGATAAATATTCAGGACACAGTCATTATAAAGTTTTTATTGGTGCCGACATTTCAACCCAAACATGTGGGTCATCATCAGGGCGTGTTTCGAGCACTGAAGGTACCCAAGTACACTTATTCAGTACTTGCAGTGCGTCCTGAATATTTATCACCCATCATATGTAGAACAGTCGATAAACTTCCTTCAGTAAAATAATATAGTTCTGCAATCTATGTTATCTATGCAATATACTATGTTTACATGACTAAATATCTTTTACTTTATTTTTACATATTAAATCAATTTAATTCACCATTTTGGTTGCATACATAATATTTCGTATACATTAAAAAATTTTTTATTCATAACTATAACATTTTTTTTTTAATCGACATAAAAGTAAAAAAATTGAACTTGTAGAAAGTGCTGTTTTTGATATAGAGCTATGCTCAATATCATCATCCTGAGCTCTACTCCTGTTTATTTGAGTTATCCATAGCTATCCAGATATGTTTTACCACATCCAGCTCCTTTAAGTTTTTGAGTAGGCCAGTTTGTCATTCTCCATCCATCATTCTCATTGACTGGGCCAAATGTATAGTATTGTACCTAGCTTTAACCTAACAAGGAGGAAGTCAAAAAAAGCTATCAGAAAATTGAATTCATACAGTGCAGTCAAAATCGACAGTAGTCCTACCAATTCAATCAGGGTGAATAAATAATTTGTAATCTCCATAAATCTGTTTGGAATAAAAAATAACTGAACAATAGAAAAAAATTATACTGATTCCAAATCGCAAAAAGATCTCATTCCTTCCAACAAGCTATTACATATTTACACTCATTGTGACTAATCAAATCACAGAATACGCCAAATAAATTATTGGGAGACTATTATATTATGGTTCATGATCAAATCAATGATCAATGTTCAACTATTGACCATTGATTTACCTCACACCAAATAGCAGTCGGGAGGCCTTGACTCTTAATGAGTTGTAGTGTCATCGATGATATGCCAGACATAAACACATTAGAACAAAAAGCTGTAGGCTGGAACTCCCTTCCTCCCAGTTTTGTTTAGTTTAACACGGAAATATATCATTAGGAAGATAATTCTTATGAAGAAAGGTTTAATAACTCTGGGTAGTTAACTACCATTTAACTTTAACAGTGGATGCGTTGATGATTTGGTGCTGACTGTTAATATTTCTTACCAGTAATATATGACACAAGAAAATCATACATAATAATTTGTGAATATATTCAATGAAATCAAACTCTGAATAAAGGACCCAGAGTACATTCTTTTTTCATACAAAATAGCAAAACAGATTAGTTTTTGAAGGAAATCGCAAAAAAAAATCTACTTTAGAGCAAAATTTCAAAACAGATCAATATCGGAGCGAAATTAAAAAAAAAACACATTTATTTTACTGTAAAATTGCAAAGTAGATAAAAAAAAAAGATTTGATAGGATTTTGTATTTTAAATCTACTATCGGCATAGATCTGTTGAGAACTCAGTTTTCCCTTAAACAGAAAATAAAAAGAAGAGAAATCATTCAAATCTGAGCACTAATAATACAATAAAACTATGAATTTATAATAATTATAAATTAAATAGGTATATAACAAATATTTAGAATATAACAGAAATTCGTGATAAACAAAATGTTGTAAAATTGATTGTTAACAATGCATACATTTTACAAAGAGCAAAACTTAACAAAACTTTAAAAGAAATTAATATATAAACACACATATACATATATAATTAAATATTACAGTACTGGCAAAACATTTATTCACTAATAATCATATAATTTGTAGTTATAAAATAAACTTTTAGATTTTGTTAAAATCTGTAAAATGATATTTTATATGAATATCACACATTAAAAATGTGACATTCAATGAAAATTTGTATAAATGTGAGCCGAAACTTTCATAGCATCGTGTAGCTATGGCTTTATCTACTTTTTTCAGATCAGGAATCTTTATACTTGAATATGCTTTTACTACTTGTTTTTTTTTAAAAACTTCCCTTATACTTACTTCATAATCAAATCCAGCATCACTGTCAGTGGCCATATTTTCAGTAAGACCAAATAAAGAATCTCTATCCCAATGAGGAGGCAATTCATCCTTATCTAAAAACTGGTAAGCCTTTTCAACAGCTGAAAAATAAGTCATAATTAAATTGTTTTCATTAATAGTAACTGTTTTAATTTACTGTCTTAATTAAAATAAATGAGAATAAAATATATCATCAATATATTGTTGACCCTCATTAACATGAAACTCAATACTTAAATAACTCAAACAAACTTCTCGGTTTCAGAACATACCTAACTTTTTTTCACATTTCAAGATGTAAATCTCAAAAGAATGTTTAGATAACTCAAATATGACGTAAATGGAGTAAAACCTTCAAAAGCTGGAAGGGAATTTGCAACAACTCAATAGCTTTAATAATTACAAGTATGATCAGAAAGTATGGGCTGATTCCGAATGGAAAAGGAGTTAAGACAAATTTTGTCTTGTCACATTTATTATTGCTTAAAAACTGTCTAAAATAATGAAATCCTAAGAACACCATTGTGAAGTAGACAATGTTTTTGAAAACTGATTAAATTTACTAAGGTCAGTAATAAAAGAGACTTTCAGGAGAGCTAATAGGGCAGCTGTACAAAGATATGCTGCCTGTATGTAGGTACTGTGACTGCAGCAGTACAGCAGCTGTATTAGACCTCCTGAAAGTCCCTTTTAACATTGACCTTGATAAAGTTAATCAGTTGTCTAAAAAAAAAAATTGACTACTTTACGATGGGGTAGTTTGAATCTTATTCAATAAAAAACCTGACAACACAAAATTGGTGTTAGCTATATTTCTGTTCAGAATTGGTACATGCATCAGATGAACTTTTTTTTTTGAAAGTTTTTCTAGAATCAGCCCCAAGAGTTTAGCCATTATGAACTGAGACACAGTGTATATACAGTTACTGAGCTTAATGGCTAAACTCTCGGAGGTGATTCTAGACAAAATTTCCAACAAAAAAAGTGCTTTTGATGCATGTGCCATTTCTGAACGGAAAAATAGTTAAGACCAATTTTGTCTTTTCTTGAGGTGGTTTTTTCACAGAAAGTGATAAAACAAAAAGTATTTAATTCAGGTATTTAAAAATTGCTTCATAATGAACTAGACAAATTTTCTTTCAATATAAGCAACAAGTTTGTCATTGTCAAAACCATTTAAAGGGGACTTTAGAGCAGCCAAACTAAGCTAAGTTGTGTTTTTCATTAAATCATGGATTATTCGCGATGTTCTTTTGTCATCCTACAACTATACTACAGACACTTCCCTTTTAAATTGGGTTGGCAAATAAGTCCTTTCGATTTTTCAAGGTCAAATAAAACTCAATGTATTATAGATATAAAATTTATTTTAATCTGCAATATATTGAACATTATTTAATATGACTTTTTCTATCAATCCACTAACTGCACGATGCCATGTTCAAAGAATGTCTGGAGTTTATTGTTAAAAAACAATATCAGGATATAATATAATAACAAATAATATAACAATATAAATATCAGGATCGACTATTATGTTTTGGGGGCGCCTTCAATGAAAATTATATCGAATTTGAGATTGGGACCCCCGGGCCTCGACTTTTTTTAACTTCTCGGCTTAAATCGATGTCAGGGTCGACTTATATATTTTTTGGCGGCTTTTTATGAAAATGATATCGAATTTGAGATTGGACTCCCCGGGCCTTGACTTTTTGTAACTTTTCGACTTAAATCGAAATCAGGGTCAACTTATATGTTTTTTGAGGCACTTTTTATGAAAATGCTGTCGCTTTTGAAAATGGGCCCCCGGGTCTCGACTTTTTTTAACTATTCGTATTAAATTGATATCATGGTCGACTTATATGTTTTTGGGAGCGTTTTTTATGAAAATACTGTCGATTTTGAGATTGCCCCTCCCCCCCCCCTGGGCCTCAACTTTTTTTAGCTTTTCAGATTAAATCGATATCAGGGTCGACTTATATGTTTTGGGGGGCAGTTTTTATGAAAATGATATTGAATTTGAGATTGGGACCCCCTGGCCTCGACTTTTTTAACTTTTCAGATTAAATCGATATCAGGGTCAACTTATATGTTTTGGGGAGCACTTTTTAAGAAAATGATATCGATTTAATCCGAGAAGTTGAAAAAAGTCGAGGCCCGGGGAGCCCAATCTCAAATTCGATATCATTTTCATTCAAAGCTCCCTCCCCAAACCTTAATAATCGATCCTGATATTCATTTTAAAGTCAGACCGTTGAACATCATTGGTGTCAAAATTTCCTGAATGAAATTTGGCAAACCAATTTTGACAGGTGCGTTCGGTTAAGGCATCATCCCCATAAACACTGCAAATTTTTTTATGAGCTTCTGCAGCATGCTTACCTTTCTTAAAATAATACAACAAAATATGACGATAATGAATGATATTTTCTTCCATATTCACAGTGCAATAGCAAACACAATACTAAGCTAGTTTCAACAACAGTTGACAGATATAGTTGTTGACATATTACAAACAGGATAAACAATCCACCTTAGGGATTAATTCATCAGATAAGAAGTGTATCATAGTGAAATAAAAATAAACAGGAAACTGAAAGGACTTATTTGCCAACCAAACAGATAAGCAGTATTTTTTTAACTTAATTATTTAATGAAAAACAAGTGTGCTTTCATAATTAATTTACTTAAATAGTAGTCAGGTCACATGAAAAGAAGGAATTAAAATTTTGCAATTATTTCTCAGTTTCATTTTTGCTGGAAATACAGATACTGCGGTGTGACAGAATATAAAATCACATAATTTTTTCAGACAAATAGAAGTGAATCTTAACTCTATTTTAGAACAAACCTTAAATAAATTGATATGCAATTAAAGCTTATTAAACAAAGGAGTTTTTTTATTATAAATGTGGGGGTAGTGTATTTGTAGTTTATAGTATGATAAAATAACATCGCGAACAATCCAGGATTTTATGAAAAACACAACTTGGCAATGTTTGGCTACTGTGAAGTCCCTTTTAAATAGTTTTGACAAAGACAAACTTGAATTTGAAGGATTTTTTTGAAGGAAATTTTAGGACTTAACAGCGGCCAAACTACACTAAGTTGTGTTTTTCATTTGCCTAAGTTATGAAGAAAATTTTGTCTACTTTACTATGAAGCAATTTTTAATTACCTGATTAAATATTTTTTGTGTTATTGCTTCCTATGAAAGAGAAAACGTTACCACCTTAAGAAAATATGAAATCAGACTTAACTCCTTTTCTATTCGAAATCAGCTCATACATCAACTGAAATTTTGTCTAGAATCACCTCCCAGAGTTTGGCTATACTTCTCTCAACTTATGAGACACCCTGTACCTGTATCTGTATCTGTGTGTGAGTGTGTATGTATGTATATATATATATATAAACTGACAGGCAAAAAATTCCACCCACTTGATTTTTTCATGTTTTCATCTAAAAATATTTGTATTTGTATATAATACATGGTATTTGTAGATGATACTTGGTATTTATGGAATTTTATAATCTTTTTTACCTTTAATAATCAAAATGTGATTGGGTAACAAAGATTAAAGAAAAAAAAATTGAAAAACGAACCATTATTATTCTAAAAGAAATTAATTACATCATTGTTTAGTAGCGCATGTTTCCTCCTCTTGCCTTTACTATTTCTTGAAGACGCCTCGGCATACTTTCCAGCAGTCGGGAAATGTCCCTTTGCTGAAGGATAGCCCATTCCTCCCGAAGAGCCCTTTCAAGGTCCTGCAGTGTATCAGTAAATGTTGCACGCACTCTTATTCGTCTTTCGAGGTTATCCCATAGATGCTTAATGGGGTTCAAATCTGGAAAACGTGCTGGCCGGGCTAAAACCTCAATATTGTTCTGTTGAAGGAACCATTAGAGTGGTTGCATTAGAATAGAACGATCGCCGATTTTGTTGATGATAGGCAACACATGAGGTTCCCAAATCTCATCTACATAGCGAATGGCCGTCAAAGACCCTCCACGAACAACAACTAATTCTGTGTGGCGCTCCATTGAAATCCCAGCCCACACCATTAAGGAACCATGTTGGAAGGGTTAGCTCTGGGAAAAATTATGTAAAAAAATTAAAAATTCGTTTCTTCTTCTCCACACCCTTTCACGCCCGCCTGGAGAGTGAAGAGCGAATCTTGACTCATCTGTAAAAAGTAAAGCACTCCATTCGTCCATAGTCCAATGGCTGTGTTCTCGAGCAAAAGCCAGCCGTGTTTCTTTGTGAGTTCTGGTCAACTCTGGTCCTCTTACTGGACGAAAAGCCATTAATCCATACTCATTTAATCTCCTCCGAGCGGTACATTCAGAAATTTGCACACCTCGAACTTCATCGAGCTGATGAATCGCTTGAACAACGGTAAGGTGCCGGTTTCGTAAAAATTCTCAAAGTCAAAAACCGGTCATACCGTGGTTCCATTACCCTAGGCCGTCCAGAACCGGGCCTTCTATTGTAAGAACCAGTTTCCCAAAAACGCCTGACGGCGTGTCGTAAAGTTTCATATGGAACTCCGATGGCATTAGCTGCATATCTAATGGAACCTTCAGCATCAATAAGTGCCACACCACGCGCAACATCCTCAGCACCAAGAGGCATTTTTAAACTTAATACTGAAAAAATTAAAAGCCGGAGACTAAGAAAAGTGCTGCAAGAAACGACACTGAACAAATGATAATGATACGGAATCTAGAATCATTTCATTGAATTAAGGATTAAGGGTTATTGTCCTCCATATTAACATTCCTAATTGAAAACAAACAAAAAGATTACCTATTTATTCATTAAAAACAATAGACCAATTCAAAGTAGAAATATTTTTAGATGAAAACATGAAAAAATCAAGTGGGTGGAACTTTTTGCTTGTCAGTGTATATATATATATATATATATATATATATATATATATATATATATGTAGGGTTGATAGCAGACCTCAAGAATTACAAAAAAAAATTAAATAAACAATGACCCCAATGGTCCTGATTTCCAGCAGGAAAGTAGGAAATTAAAATGTTGTGTTCTTAACTTGAGTAAACCACTTTTTTTTTTTTTTTTTTGATAGAAAGTGATAATTAAAAAACTATTTAGTTCAGAAATCAAAAATTATTTCACTGTAAACTAGATAAAATTTACTTCAAATGAAAATGAAATTTGCCCTTGTTAAAACAATTTAAAGAGGACTTGTGAGCGGTTAAACTAAGTGAAGTTTGCTTTTTAAAAAAATCATAAATTATTTGCTATTTTATTTCATCATCATCCTACAATACGACAATTTTATCTCTCTCTAATTAATAACAGATATCCCGCTTTTGAAAAACTTTTACGTTTAATAATCTTTAAATCTATATTAATTAAATTGAGGTTTATTAGGGAAAAACTTGACATTCGCCCTTAAGTTGTGAAAAAAAATGAGATGATTTCATATCCTGTCACCTAAAAGTATCCGTGTTTTCAGCAAAAATGATTAAAATGAATTGTTACAAAAGCTTCTTTTTTGTTTTGTTTTTAGATGTATTATGATAAACATAATTGCCTTAATAGACTTTTTATTTCTAAAAAAAAAATGTTAAAAATAATGGTTTTCCAAATATTTTTTCCTGTAAAGTGATTTAAAACTGTTTTTCACAGAAATCTCTACTACAGGAATTGACTCGTATTTAAAAGTGACAAACTAAATGTTTCTGATCCTAGTATTTATCAAACTCTGCCTTAACTAAGATCTCTATTACAGGAATTGATCCGTATTTATAAGCGACAAAATAAAAGTTTCTAGTCTTAAAATAAAGAAACCTAAAAGTTTAAAAATCATAATTCAATAGAAGGAGAAATGGACATTAATAGGGAATTCCAGAGTCTAACTAATAAGACCCAATAAAAAAAGTATGCATAGTGGTACATTAATTTGACATTCATATAACTACTAATTACTATTGTATTTAATTTAAATATGGAAGTTAAATCAATTAATACAACTTTTAATACGAACATTTATGTATAAAAAAAATATATCATACTATAGCGAGTTTGTGTTAAAAAGGGTAATACAAAACGAAGGAGGTCTGTATTTCTATCAAGATTGGAAACAAACTGAAATAAGTAATAAATCATTATCAAAAGACTGCCTCTTAAGTTTAATGTACTTATCGTATAATAATTCAGATATAAAACTAATACACTACTTATTATTATTTTTAACAAAAGCTAATTATTTAATCATTCTCACAAGTTTCTGGGATCAGAGTAAATGAATATTCTCCTCCTTTAATAAAAGGTTTTTTTTTTTCAACTTAATTTGTAACTTAATAAGTAATAATAAAACTAAAGTCATTGCTTTTTCAATAATGTAAAAGGACTGAGAAATTACATCACTTAACTTAATGAATATTAAAAAAACTGCAGTACATAAGATGACAAATATAGGGTAATTACAAACAAATAAAAATTTCATTAAAAGTTTGGAAGGAGATAACCACATATGAAAGTACTAAAAAAATAATTTTTTTGTGCTCTTTTACCTTTGACTACACTCTAAACAAATTTCTTCTATTAAATGATATATAGTGGACTGTATCTCCACCAAATAAGAACTTAATTTACAAATAAGAGATTCATTAAAAAATAAGAGTTTATTGCCTTAACTTGATTATATTTATAGAATTTATGCTTATATCTATGAATTAATTTATAGAATTAGCTTAAAAGAATTTAACTCAGACAAATGATGATGAAATCATCAGAAAATTAAAAAAATATATAATATTCATTTAATAATGATATTAACATAATATAAATCTTAGCATGCTTGGCAATCTACTGAGATGTAGTACATACCTGCTTTCAAAGCACTATTTTCTACTTTCAAGCCAATTTCCCTTGTAAATTCTAAAGCTTCCTTTTTGGGTACAGTATAACTTAAAAAAAAAAATCAATGATAATAATAATGAATTATTATATATGTAGCACAATATCTATTAATGCAATGTTGAATAATGAAAAAGATTGGCCATTATCCTAGCATTGGAGAAAATTGGAACAAAACATATAAAGAAGTGGTATAAATAAAAAAAAGGATCAGTACAATCTTCCTATAAAAATTACTTATTATGGATGAAAATATGTTTGATAAAAATAAAAAATATTTTATATTGTCTAATTAATAAATGCATAGGAAAAATATAGTTAAATAATAATAAATGTAACACTCTGTTATTCTTAAGGGACTTTATCCCAGAATAAAGTTTGTTTTCTATCTATTTATGTTTCTATCTAAATATGTTGAAAAATAAAAATAATTAATAAATATTAATGAATAAAACTCACAACAATTAACAATAATTAAAATGTGAACACTCTTCTACTTTGTTCAAACTATGTACCTCTACCCTTTATTTCGTTACATTAAAAAACAAAATAGTGAACATAAATTAACTAATATGTACATTTGGGAATGGTTTACTCAAGAAAGGTTCATTTAAACAAATAGATTAGATAATTAATCTAAATTTCTTGAACTCTCTACTTACTATCGACCATCTTTAAAAGATCTGACAAGATATTCTAATCTAGTATCAATGGGAACAGTATCTTGTGCAGTTGGAGCAACAACTAAACCGGGAAACCAGTTATCTTTTTGCTTCTTTTTTTCAGCTCCTTCTACACAAACTACTCGACCAATATCTTCTTCCTTTTCATCACTAAAATCTTTTAAAAGTAGAAATGCTTCCTCATCTTCACTACTTTCTTCCCTAAAACAAACTAAGTTAGGTTGGGCACAAAAAAATAAAATAATGTAAAAAATTAAAACATAAATATAAATACTAACAGTCCTGTTCGATTTCTCCTTCCTCGTCTTCCTCCAATAACAGGATTGCTAAAATGTTCAGGATGAGTAAGTGGAAGTTGATCTAAGGTTTCACTTTCAGCAAAATGTCTCCCACTTTTTAAACATAAAGCAGTTCTTCTAAGGGTAGTGATATCTCCATCATCAAAAACTAAAAAAAAAAAAGATTAAGATTAACAGTAAAAGATTATTTTAATTCAAGAAAAATGGATATCTGCTTACCAACAGTATATTGACTACAATCCTGCACTTTAGCTATAGTTGCTTCAAAAAACTCTTTTTTTTCAGGATGTCGAGCTTCTACTACAACACCATTCTAAAAAATAAAAACAAATTAACTGTCGTAAGCATAAAGAAATATAAACACACCCTTTAATTGACAAATTTTACACATATAAACCAAAAAGAAAATAGTCATACGTAAAAGATCTAAGCAACTAACATTAAAAGCGTAACTGATTTGTTTATTACACAGAGCAGTCCATTTAGGATATGTAAATTTAAGAAATAATGAATTTTAAATAAAAATCACTTTCCCTTTCTTTTTGTATAATGTCCAGGCTTACTGATGAGCTAGTGTTTTAAGGAACCTCGACCAAACTTAATGCTGGAAATATAGTTAAGTCAATGAATGACCAAAAAAGGGTTGTATAGTGCGTGAGCAGGGACCTAAATGATTCCTTCAGAAACTTTTTCAGGGTGCTTAGAGTATGAACATATCAAAACTGCTGACATCTAGGTGGTGAGTCGGGGAGGGAGGAAGAAAAGGTCACAATTTTTTTGATTTTCGCTTATGTCTCGAAAACAGTGTATCGCAGGGCAAATTTTTTGTATAATAAATTAAACTTTATAAAATTATCTAAAACTTCTATTCTGTAGGTTTTATCCGAATTCTAAACCGTTTTTGACCTCTAGGTTTGGAAAAGATGACATTATCAAAAAAAATCATTTTGTCACACATTTTTCATTAAACATTCCTTTACATCGCTTAAGATATTCATCAGACAAAGAAATTCATTTAAAAGAAGTTGTAGAAACTTGAATTCCCTATTAGAATATATATACATATGCAAATTAATCTTCAACCCAGTTTGAGGTATTTTAAAATGTTTCATATAATGTTGTAATTTTCAGAAAAATTTGTTTTTATCATATCCTTGACCAACAACTTTTGTTCATGTATTTAATAATATGTGAGGCCACACTTTAAAATCAAATTATTAAATTAAATTAAATAAAGAAGGAAAAAATCATGTTAATTGAAAAATTTAATATTGTATTTTACAGATAATAAAAGTCTCATGATAATGTTATTCTACTTTGATATATTAAATACATACAATTATAAACCTCATTGTTATCACTGTTTTAAATAACTTATTAATATTAAACTCACTACTTCAGATGGATTCACGTTTTCATTCACTGTTTAGATGTGCGGGTCTTGACAAGGGTTGTTTGTCCATGGCATCTTCACCCTCAGTAGAGGTGGCCCAGACCCCCTTTTGTACACTCCCCCACATCCCTATAAATTTCATATCGATTTTTTTCGATAATGTTATCTTTTTCGAGTGTAGAGGTCGAAAACTGTTTAGAATTCGGATAAAATCTACAGAATAGAAGTTTTAGATAATTTTATAAAGTTTAATTTACTATACGAAAAATTTACCCTGTGATACACTGTTTTCGAGATATAAGGGAAAATCAAAAAAATTGTGACCTTTCCTCTCCCCTCCCCGACTCACTACCTAGATGTCAGCACTTTTGATATGTTCATACCCTAAGCACCCTGAAAAAGTTTCTGAAGGAATCGCTTAGGTCCCTGCTCACGTACTCTATACCTCCTGTATTGACTCTACTCCCTTATTTATTGAGATTCTGGTGAGTCACGCAAAGTGCATATATAACGCAAAACTTATTTTTAAACTTGTTCTATAAATAGCCTACTGTGGTGATGTTTTTGCCCGAAGAGGATGGGCACAAGAATATCAGCTAAAGAGATATTATCACAAAATTTAAAACTTTTGTAAATATTCTTTACTATTATTCAAGTTGACATTTATTAATTTTTTAGAATTTTATTTTATTTTGTTTATTTTATTTGTGAAGAGTTTCATTTGTTTTGTTTATTCAGTTTATGCCAACAGTGAAATAAAGATTTGTATTTTTTTTAGTTTGGGAACTTTTAACTTTTATTTATTTATTAATATCCCAACAATACCATGGGAGTTATTGGAAGATGATGATGAACCAATAATTTTTTATTTTATTGATAAGTTTCATTGAACATCTTTTTCCTCTTGCTTGTCATAACCAGAATGACTTCCCAGAAGTTTACAAAAATGGCAATGTTTTAATTGTTCATTTTTAAGATTTGTTGAAGTGCAAGCTGAACAGTAATTACCTCATAGTTAAAGTGAACCTTGTTTTCCTCAAAAATAGCTCCTTTTAAAAGTCCACTGAGTGCAGATGTGAAACCAATTTTTGCCTAAAAGTATCCAGTTCAATTACACTAACTTCATGATGGATTATATTCCTTTTATCTAAGGATTTAACCATACGTTTATAATTATCAATTTACGGTTTTATTTGCAGTTCAGATCAGCCAAATGTATTATATGAGGGTGAGACATTTTAGTTTAAGATTAATCTCAGAAATAATTTATCTGCTCAACACAAGCGTTTTTGAAGAACAATATCAGAAGCAGTACAGATAATTCACAGGTAACATAGATTTCAGTGCTGCTTGTACCTTCAACTCTTTGCAGACCATTCTTCACAAATGGGAACAAATGTTTGATAATTTTTTTTTAAAATGTTTATCAAAAAGTAAAAACTTACTCAATATTTTTTTAGGCTTCAATAGTTAGAACTTATTTTAGAATGCAAAAATTCATTATTTATCTTCAAATTTTAGCTACTTACGATTTTTTTGAAATGAATGAAATATGACTTTTTATGGCATTCTTTTTATTTATTTCTATAACAAAAGTTTTGATTTGATTACTGCAGCAATATTTTTTTTCTTCTATAAAAAAGGCTCAATACGAACGAAAAAAAAATTAATGAGTATAAATAATATATACTACAGCTAACAGAGTTCTTAAAAGGAGTGAGGCAATTTTGTGTACAGGGAATTTTTCTGTGCAGAAGAAAAGGTGTATTCAAATAACTGCAAATGAAGATAGAATCAGAAATATTCTTCAGCCTATCCTTACATCTCTTAGCAGAATTTGGCTAGGATAAGTGGTGTTACTGAAAGTTCAATTCAGAGGTACTTAAAAAGCACCACATGCCATTGCACCAAAGCTTATTGCCCAGAAACCATGAGAGTAGCCACTGGGAGCTAAATAAAATTTAAGGTATGTAAGACTTCTTTCGAAGAATGTTATTTAGTGTTTAGGCAACGTTCTGCAATGATAGAATGTTGAACCATCACAATCCACATGACTGGGGCTTAGCAAATCCCTCACTGGATGAGGCAAGCAGACATGCAGCACCAGTGGGCACTAAATTTGTGGTTGGCATTATCGTAAATCAGATCATTACACTTTATTTCATTCCAGGCAGATTGACAGAAGCAATATATGCCAATTTTTGTTTGGAATATTCTTCCTATATTTTTGGAAGACATACAGTTAAAGGCGAGGCATTATATATAGGGTTTCAATATGATGGGTATCCCGCACATTTCTCGGTAGTGGCAAGGCTTATGCTTTGGAAGAAGCTTTTCCAGATTCCTTTGAACTTTTTTTGTGGTTATTTAAAGGAAAGGGCCTCTGCCCAGCAGACAACTATTGCTAAAAGTAGTTGTTAGAGTCCTCTGATCACTTGGGAACAGAATTTTTAATTGATTTTATGAAACAATATTTTTAAAAATCGTGCTTTAGGTCCGTAAACATCAATTTTGCATTTGTGGCTTTGAAAATAGCTAAGATTTTGACCACCATTTTATGGTAAAATAATAGGCGAAATGAAAAATCTTAAATAAATATGCTTCTTTATTTTTTGAGTAGTTCCAAAAATGTGGGGTAAAGAGAAAACACTGACTTTTGAGAGAGTGTTTAAGTATTAATTTATAAAGGATTTAAAAAGGACGAATTTTATTTTTGAAAAAAAATCAGTTATTTTCTTTTGATGTAATCCTTGAAAATGGGTGGGTTCAGTAGTCTTGTCGAGGGTATTAAGAGCAGAGAATACATCTATACCAACACCTGATTTCGCTAAATTACGGATGTTGATGTAATGCTTTGCCATTTTTAAAGAAATTAACGGTATATCATTTTCCCCACCAATGTCTTCAGACAGAGCTAAAATTACCTCTTTAATTAAGATTCCTGCTACTACTAAACTATCATCAAAATGGACAAAATCACACTTTGTCAATGTTCATAGCTGAAAAAAGGAGGTTTTAACCTATTTTCCATCCTAGATGCAGTCGAGGACTTGTATCATAACTTTCTTCCACTAAAAGGTCTCAAACGTTTTAACTTTAATTTTAATGTCCTGGCCTAGAGCCTGCAGCTTAGAGGTAGTGTTGGCAGGCAAAAACACAACATAAACATGGCTAAGTGATGGAGTAATGTCATATATATATATATATATATATATATATATATATATATAAAAGTATAACTTTATGCTCTTTTTTCTTCGTATTAGCATTCACTGATTTTAGCCCTTCATTAAACATTTTGTCAATCATCCAGGCTTTTTTATAGGCACAATAAATCATTGGAAAAGATTTGTTTGAATCGACCAAATCATCACTTGCTTGAAAATCTTTAATTCTCATTTTTTTCGGCAAAACTTTGGCTTTTTCTTTTAAAATGTTACCTCCGATCAAGGCAAACTAGAATTGCGTGCTTGTGTCAATCATAGTTTTAAATGATCTTCCATTTCTGGGTACTCACTCATCTTGAAGCGATTTTATTAACTGCTTTTAGGCGATTTCAACAAATGGAAATTCATAGAAACAGTACCTCTCTCTTAATCTCCTCTTCTTCTCGAAAAAGCATTAAGAATTAACCAGATTTTTTTGGTTTTTAATTCAAAATATAAGATGTTTAAAATACTATTAAGACAAAAATAAATATGAATTATCCGGTTAATGATAAACTTTTAGAATGTCTAAAAATAATGATATAGAAATTAATAAGATTTATCATCCATGAACTATTTCTACTGATGCTTATTCACCACCAAATATTTTAAAATTAAACTTTGCTAAATGAAACTACAGTAAAAGAAATTAAATTGAAAAAGAAATGAGGGGAGAAGAAATATGTATTCAACTAGCATTAATAGTAATTAGGTAGTCTGCTTCCTCAGCTGAAATAAGCCAACTTTTAAAAAATACAGTTATTCATTAAATTTATCATAGTTAATTGTTAATTTTTTTTACAAATATTGAAACTAACAGATCAGAAACAAATTTTAATTAAGTCATCAAACTTACCCTTATTTGTCCTCTGATTTGATCATCAGTAACAGTAAATGTCCCAAGGCCTTGTTTAAAAATAACCTACAATGAATAATACAAACCAATAAAATACTAAAACTTTTAATTGTACATAAGTAAAATAAAACTAATACAATTAAATTATACAGGTAGAACAGAAGCAGAAATAAAAAAGGATCACAAATGGCAAAAAAACAGTGGGAATGCTAAAATCCCTATGTAGAGAAGCAATATTTTAATAAAAACAAAAAACAGATCTAACAATGAATGAAAGAAAGTTTAATGCTACATGGATCGGAGAAATTACTGCTGTCATAGCTGACAAAGTGATAACAATATAAAAGATAATGATATTTTAAAAAAATTGGTGTTGGGATGGAGAATTGAGAGAGGAGGTTACATCAATTGTTGGAAAAATATTTAAAAACTGACTTGATTTTGAAAATTATGTTGATTTTTTTTTTTGTATAATGTTGTCTTGATCTTTAGTAATAAATCAAGTTAATGAATAGGAATGGTGTAAATCATTTCCTGGCATCTCCCAGCAATGACTAGAACGTAAGAAGTTGGAAAGGACTCACTCCCCCTCAATTGTCTCTATAATGGCTCTACAACCTTTAGTGAGTCTTGGTCTCCTCAATGAGCTTCCGCCAAATTTCTCTATTCTGCGTGGCCACTTTCCAATTCCTGACTCCCATCAAATCTCTCGCGTCACCTGCCACACCTCTGCCCATCTCAATTTCGGTCTGCCAGCTCTCCTTGTATAGTGTAATGGTTCTTCAAGCACTCTTATCAGGATTTTCAGACCTTTCCTTCCGAGCTATGTGACCTGCTCAACTTAACCTTCCCGATTTTATTATTATACTTGCCACATTAGGTTCATTAAACAATTCGTAGACCTCTCTATTCTTCCGAATTCTCCAATCCCTCCTTAACAGGGCCAAATATTCTTCTAAGGATTTTCCTTTCAAAGACCAGAAGATCTTGTTCGTCATTTTTGGCTAAGGTCCATGTTTGGCTACCATAGGTAAGAACTAGCCGGATGAGGGTTTTATAGAGCTGCAGCTTCGTTCGTCTGCTAAGTAATGAGCTTCTCATGTGCTTAATTAGGCCAAAATAGCACTGGTTGGCAGATGCTATTCTCCGCTTTATTTCAAGTGTCGTAAATTGAGATCCCAAATAAGAGAACTGTCGGACATTCTCAAAGGTGTAAGGGCCTAGAAATATTCTTTGGTTTTGGAGATTCTCTCCTTCTCCTGTATACATATATTTTGTTTTATTCTCATTAATGTGGAGCCCCATCTTAGCTGCAATTCAAGGAAGGCACCTTCGAGAGCTGCAAAGGACCTTGCAACAATATAAATGTCGTCAGCGTAACCTAACAGTTGCATCATATTTGTAAATATTGTGCCCCTAGTCTGATTGCCAGAGTCTCTCACCACCTTCTCCTGAGCCAAATTAAACAATAAACATGCCAAAGCATCACCTTCCATTGCTTCATACAACTTGTATCTTCTTATGGTATCGTAGACGCAAGTCAAGTCAAGTCTTGAAGTCAATAAACAGATGATGGGTGGGAATTTTATACTCATGACTTCTTTCTAGAATCGTACGGAGAGTAAATATTTGATCTACCTTTTCGAAAACCAGCTTGGTATTTTCCTATTTGACAATCGACGAATGGGGCTAGTCAGTTGTAGAGGATGTTGGAGAGTATCTTATATGTGCACTGCAATAACAAAATCTCTTGGTAATTGGCGCATTCCAATTATTATTCTTTCGTGTGTGCAGGACATGTGACCGCATATTTTCATTGAAGAGGCATGCTTTTCTGTATCCAGATGGAGAATATCATATCATAAATGAGCTTGTGTAGCTTTTTGCCACCATAATTGAATAGATCACGTCCATGGTAGTCCATCACCTCCTGGTGCCTTATGATTTTTCATTGGTGCAATCGCATTAATTAATGCGGCCCCCCTCCATTGGGTAAGTCTAATTAACTCTGTAATTTCTTTAGCTTCAAAGGAAACGTTACACCGCTCAGCATGACATGATCCAAGGTAAAAAATGCCTCGCAGTAGAAATGGATTTTTAGAGGAGAGCAGCAATGATAGCAATATCCATTATATTATGATATCACTACAAGAAATCTACAATACAAGAAGCCAGTATTTTGTCTCCTTGTATAATGAATCCAAGAATCTGACAAAAAATTAACCTCAACCATACATTAATAAAATACTTATGATGCATGACACACTTTTATGGCTCCAAAAAGAAGATTAGCAATTCAGAAATTTTTTTGTTAACTCTAATTTCAACCAAAAAATTTATTAAATTATGAAGTCCTTTTTTCTATGACTGATATTTTTATTTTCCATATTACTGGGAAAAACGCATTTATTGATGATATAATCTATATTTATATTTAATTACAGATCATAAAATTGTAGGTAGTCCTAATTTTGCAGATAAACAAGGTGTGTAAAAAAAGTAATGAGTCTGGTAGTACTGGGAGTGATCTGGCAATACTGAGTTGTTGTACATGTCAACTCAGCTTGACATGATCCAAGGTAAAAAATGCCTCGCAGTAGAAATGGATTTTTAGAGGAGAGCAGCAATGATAGCAATATCCATTATATTATGATATCACTCATTAAACATAAGTGAGAAATTGGAAGTAAAAAAAAATGTCTTAAGAGATGTGATTAAGAAAGCCAGACGTAGAAGCAATTCTTTTGTCACCAAGCCCAACAATTTAACATATCCATTTTATTTGCCGCAATGTAATCACCTTGAAATGGATGGATAGTCTACCAAAAATGTTTATCAGTGCCACCAACCACATCTTATCTCAAACTATTGTGAAGATATGATTTTTTAAAGTGTTTTTCAAGAAAACCATGTTTTTCCTCATAAATATTTAAATTACTCACATAAATACTCAAATTTAACTCAAGATTTCTAAATTTTTGTCACAATTTTCGAAATGTATGATGAATTTCCTATAAAATAACAACCAATTTATTGAAAAATGTCATGCACTTTTAGCTATGCCACTGTGTCAGGCTGCCAAAGCAAAGCATAATGGTAAAAATAAATAATTTTCAAAGTACTCCATAAAATCGCAAGCAATCATTTTTCAAACCACAATCTTGATAAAATCTCATGCTATTAATTTTCAAGCTACAATCTTCATAAAACCTCATGCAATTAATTTTCAAACTAATATCTTGCATGTTTTTAAAAAGTAGTTTCGTTATATCACCTTTTCTAAGGTACACCCAATTTCAAGCAGCTAGTTTAATTTCAAAAAATTTCAATTTGGGGAGGTAAAAAAACAGAAATCTACAATACAAGAAGCCAGTATTTTGTCTCCTTGTATAATGAATCCAAGAATCTGACAACAAATTAACCCCAATCATACATTAATAAAATACTTTTAAAAATTTATTAAATTATGAAGTCCTTTTTTCTATGACTGATATTTTTATTTTCCATATTACTGGGAAAAACGCATTTATTGATGATATAATCTATATTTCTATTTAATTACAGATCATAAAATTGTAGGTAGTCCTAATTTTGCAGATAAACAAGGTGTGTAAAAAAAGTAATTTGTCTGGTAGTACTGTGAGTGATCTGGCAATACTAAGATGTTGTACATGTCTAGACAGGTTTTTATATCCCTTCCAGATGTTGAGTCCGAGTTTCAGCACTGTCCAGCCATTATGCGATTTTTAAAAGCGCCATCAGTTAAGTTGTGTGTTATGAAAATAGAACAGTGAAATTTAGAGCAACACTATGCCATTAAGCATTGTGTTAAATTTGGGAAATATGCATATGTGACCTTTTAAAAGTTGAAACAGACCTATGGGGAATATTCTTCATCAACAGCACATGTTTTTCCCTGTCACAAATCATTTTTGAAAGGCCGGAGCATGTTGTAGATGAACCAAACTCAGGAAAACCTTCAACTTCAAAAAACTGACCAAATCGTCAAAATCCAAGTGTTTTACAAAGATATACTTAAAAAGCTAAAGGAAAGGGTGATTAAAGTGAGACCAGACATTAAACACAAGTGGATAATTCATCATGAGAACCAATTTCACAAAAGTTCAGACAACAAAACCCAATCCTATTGTTCCCTAGCCTCCTAATTCACCTGATCTGAGTCCTTGTGACTTTTTTCTTTTCCTGAAATTGAAAAATGTCTTAAGAGAACGTCATTCTGAGACTCTGGGGAATATTTAAAAAAATGTGACCGAATTGTTAGAGGCCCTGCCAGTTGAAACCTGTGCAACAACCAAGACTGGGAACTAGGACTTCGCTGGTGTATAGCTACCAAACTGAACCACTTTGAAGGGGACAACAATGTTGTTTGAAAAAAATAAATACTTCTATAAATAAAAAATTCAGTCTCATTACTTTTTTTACACACCTCGTACATAATTTTATAATCTTGCTAAGGTAATGTATTGTTAGAGAAACAATAAAAGGCATTCTAAATGTTCCAGTAGTACATCACTGTATGAGATAGCAAAACTATGACAAAGATTTGAGAAAAAAAGGTGTGATTGGCAATGTTGATATACAATTTTGGTAGATTATCTTTCCCTTAAATACTGACATTTCTCACAGTGACCCTATAAATGAAATGTGTTTGATTTATAGAAAGTTAAATAGGGTTTGACAGTTTATTACCTTGCATTTAACACTTCGAACAACTTTTCTAATTTTGGCTTCACAAAATGCACCTTTATATTTAGCACTAACTTCAGTGCCCACAGCTAAGTAGGGAGGTTCATCTGCCTGTAACAAAGAACAGCATTTACATTAAAAATATAGTTTTTTATTTCAAATAGTTATTAATTCAAAAATTAGATACAAGAGCAGGTTAATAACACTTTAAAATAAAACAATAGTAATTAAATAATTGATGGATTACTATAGCACTTTGATGATGGTCGGGAGACACGATTGTTCCGTGAGTCAGGACACTTTACTAGCCACTCAACATTTATTTTTTCTTAAGTGACTAAATTAATTTAGACTAATCATTATTCGTAAATTTATTTTGTTTTTGTTTTATAAATTTCATCCTATACTGTCTGTTTCATTTACAAAAAAAAAAAAAAAAATATATATATATATACATATATATATATATATATGAAATGCATAACTATTATCTAACCTCTCACGATTTCTCCTCCTCTATCACAAATCTATGTTAACTGATAATTCAGAAAAATTATCAATTAGCAACATTTTTTTAACCATGCAATTATAAAATAAAATTTTAATTAAGGGAATATAATGACGTTTAAATTTTAAAATTCCATAAATTATAATAGAATAGTTTATTACTTTCAAAAATATTCCTATTCCTATTCCAAAACAGTCAGATACTTGCTAACTATTTACACTATTTTTTTTCTTCATTCAATTATTACTAATTTTTTTTATTTTAAATATACAATTAAAGTTTTTTTATGAAAAGAACTTCTATTTTGCATCTTTTTCGTTCTTCATTTCTTAAAGTGTATATTTATGCTGTTCTACCATTATATATAGTTTTAAATGCTTTGTTCATAGTTTTAAGTGTTTTGTTCATAGTTTTAAGTGTTTTCTACATAGTTTTATCTGTTTTGTATATAGCTTGTACACTTAAGTTTTTCTTTACTTTATTTTTTAAACTTTATTTATTGTTTCAAACTTTTAGGTCAGTAGTAGTCTTTTCTTTTTGTACAATTTTGTTATTTTAAAGGGACTTCGTCCTAGAATTTTCTATCTTTCAAAAGATAATTTTTTTTTTCTGTTGGCATTACAAACTATGTAGATTTTTTGCCGCCTTAACAAGGCTGATCCATCTCTGCCTATCTTGGGCTATTTCTTTCCAGATATCTGCATGGAGCTCTATTGGATCTTTGTTGATTCTATCTATCCATCTGCTTTTTAGCCTTTACACGTGGTACTTTGCCTTCCATTGAGGCATTCATTGTTACGTAATGGCTTCCAGATGGATTGCTACGAGCTACATGCAAAGCCCATTTTAACCTGTGTGCCTTAATATCATGAGATATTGATTGACAAGTTTCTGTAAGCAGTTCTTTATTGGCCTTACTTCTCCATGTGTTAGTGCTCTGATCTCAGATCACTCCAGTTATCTTGCAGGGAATTTTTCTCTCAAATCTTTCAATACTTTTTCAAGGGTGCTGTTTAGTGTTCAGGTCTCACAGCCACATATTAGAACTGGTTTTATCATAGCATTATACATCCTTAATTTAAGATTTCTTGAGATTTTTCTCGATTTCAATATCTTTGAAAGAGAGAAGAAAGCTCTGTTTAAAGTATATGCTGATGATATTGCTATCCTAATTGGAGGAAACTATCAGAGTGAGGAAGTCTCTGATCTCCTCAAGACAGTAACTGTCATCCTGAGGAATTGGTGCAGCTCTATTGGGCTGAGCATCAACCCACAGAAAGTCAGAGTTTGCATCTTCACTAAGAAGAAACAGGTATTCATAAAAATTCCTGAGAGTAATGGGATCCAACTGACACACAGCAAGGAAGTAAAATACCTTGGATTCATATTGGACCATAAATTATCATGGACTAGACATGTTCAGTACGTGACAAGCAAAGCCCTCAAATACCTATGGGCCTGTAAAAGAGCAATAGGAAAGAATTCAGGACTCAAACTTAAAATGGTCTACTGGCTTTACATAACGACCCATTATACAATACTCAGTTTTGCTATGATGGCACAGAGCAAAGACTGTAGCTAATATAACCTTATTACCAAAAATACAAAGAATAGCCTGTCTAATGATTACGGGAGCAATGAGCTCCACCCCAACTGTGGCTATGATGATAATGTTGATCATGCCACCTTTGCAGCTGGAGGTTGAGGCTCAGGCAATAAATACATTATACAGACTGAATAAGCTCAATAGCTGCTCATATATCCCTGGATGGGGGGACATACCAAACTGCTGAATAGGATTGAGTGTGACAAAGTGCTAGCAATGCACTCAGGCATACAAATCCGTGAATATCTGGACAGCAAATATGATGTCGAGATTTATACCAGTAGATAACACAAACCAAAAAATTGTATAAATTGTTATACAGATGGCTCTTTAACAGCTGATGGCTCAAGAGCAGGCATCTTTCGCAAAGACAACAAAGAAAAAAATTCAATATCTCTTGGCAAATATGCTTCAGTATTTCAACGTGAAACACTAGCAATTTGCTATTGTGCTCAAAACCAACTGCTAGGCAAAATGACTGGAAAAAAGATAATAATCTATACTGACAGTCAAGCAGCAATAGGTGCTTTAAATAATCACTATACTTACTCAAAGATTGTTAAAGATAGCAGTATAGCACTTAACAATCTTTCTGAGCTTAACAGGATTGCGATTGAGTGGATAAAATAACAAAACACTTTGATTTTACAACATATATACATATAAAACACTTTCATTTTACGCATATATGTTCATACTTTATTTTGGCAGACAAAATAGCTTAATGTTATTTAAAATAGCAAGGAATGAGCCCGCCACCACAAAAATTCATATAAATATGAATCGAGGTGTTGCCTCGCAGTTCCTCGATGTTTCTTATTTCTCCACTTAGCTAAGCCCCATAAACGTTTTATGTGTTGAGTATGGACCCCAGTTGATGGATCAACAAAGTTATATCGGTGATTCACTTGCAAATGATGATAGTTTGCTTCATTCAGTTGTTGGGTGTTGTATCCTTCCCAACAGTCAGAATAAATGGTGGTTCCCTCTTTTATATTATTTTTAATACATTCTAATAAAGTTCTTGCCTTCCTTCCTGTCCTTTATTTTTATGATGAAACACTCGTCTGTTTCTCAACAAACTCTGCCAAACATCCATTGTTCAGGGAGAACTCTCCCTACATGATTTTTTCTTTTAGGAAAAAAGACTCGTCTACTACGACTTTCCCAGGCTCTCCAATTTTCTTAGATGACCTGTAAAACATGTTATGGGCACAAACCTCTCTAAAAAATGTATTCCACATTATGATACATCTGTTCGATAGAGTCAGCTGTTCTTTGTCCTATAGTATTGTTGTCAAATTATGACACCACCCATAAATTAATTTTAAAGCGATTGAAAAGGTAATCTTCGACCCCTCTAACCACGTTCCTTTCCTTATAGATACATTTTTGTTACAAATCCTAGGAAAGCATCTCCATTTCGTCTTCCCGTCAAACTTCAGTTCATAACCTTCTTCACAATATTTCACCTTTGCAATTATCCCGGCATCTTGAAAATATTTGATAGCCTCTTCTTCTGAAGACGGCAATCCCCACAGTGTAATAATATCCATTTCAACAATAAACAATCAAACAAAAATAACCAATGCAAAAACTTAACAGCTTACACGAGATAAAAAGGCAGGTTATGTGACGTAAGATAAGATAAGAAGGGAGGTTTACTGTCTACCGGATTGTTCACAAGTATCCCTTTTTCTTAGCAGCTGTGTACTTGCTCTGAGCAGCCTCGTTAGTTGTAGCTAGGCAGAGAACTTTAATTTTTCTTCTTTCCTCTACTGCATTCAAATTTATTTTTCAGCTCAAGTTGGAATTCAGTTTTTACTTCAGGATCTTCAAATTACGGACTTGACTCCTCGTTCCCACTCGATCCCCTGTTGTGTGAACTCGATTCAATCTCTGAAATAGTTTAATTCTAATCAGAGAGTGATCCGAATCACAGTCTGCTCCCACGATAGCTTCTAACATCTTGTATTAAGCTATGATGTCTCTTGTCTACCAGCACATGGTCAATTTGTTTTTCCATTCCTTGGGGACTAATCCAGGTGTACTTGTGGATATCAATGTGTAGGAACATTGTGCTGCTAAAGACTAGACCTTTGGGTGCTGCCAGACTGATACATTTCACTCCATTGCCATTGTTATTTTTATGAAGACTTTGACCTCCGATAATGGGTCTAAATTAGGGTTCTAATCCTATATTTGCATTGAAGTCACCTATGACTAATGTTACGTCATGCCTATGAGCTTGGTCCATAATATTTTCCAACTGATCATAGAAATCACACTTCAACTCTTCATGTTTATCTTTGGATGGTGCATACAAGTTAATAATTGTGATATTAAACCAACAACCTTTACCTAGTAATACACTAATCCTTTCATTTATCGGGGTGAAGCTTATGATTGATTTTCTTGCTGCTGGACTAACTATAAATTCCGTCGTGGTAGTCACATTTTATCGTTTTTCCTGGAGTAGAATATTGTATGGCTGTCGATAATGGTTGCGCCACCATCTAGCCACCTTACCTCTTGAATGGCTGTTAACAGTATGTATACCTTTTTAGTTCTTTGACTACCGTTTTTATGGCTTCTGGTAAGTTATGTGGTATGTATTATGTGTTATAAACTACGTATGTTCCAAGATTCAATGTACAGTCTGTAATTCAAAGCTGAGGTTGTTATCAAGTTTAGACAGCCTGATTTTCTGAGGCTTCGTTTTGGTTTCGTAATAAGGTGATTTTTTTTCAAGATAGGGTTATTAGCCCTATGCCCAACCCCCAATCTGGAGGACCAGGAGTTATGGTGCAACACACAGCGGTCACAAAAAGATAGCTAAAAAAATAATATTTTTTTATTACTTTCACTTACCTATATGTGATACATAGTAAGAGAAAGTATTGCAATCGTAAAAAATTACTAATCTCAGTTTTTAACAGAAATAAACATTTTTTGATTCCTGAGTAAAAATAACCAATTTCCACAAAATGGTGTGAG